ATTTTTATTTATGCATACAGGAACTGGGGTGTAAGCCAGAGCTATGGGGGTGAGAGGACTCACCAGAGACAGAGTGGGGAGCAGCATAGGCAGATCCACTGAAATACTGCCAAGGGGAGTAGCGGGTAAGTCAGGAGAGGTCTGCTGCGCCATGTGGGTCAGCTCCCTGGCCGGGGGATCAAACTCATGCCCCAGTGGCTGGTGATAGCTTGATAGTGCTGAGGCTTCAACCTCTCTTTATTTGCTCTTAGTGCCCTGCTCCTGCCTCTTAAGCCACAAGTCCTGGCTTCACACTCAATCTGCTCTTTCTGCCTCCAGCTCCTTCAGTGTCTGGGCCTGGAACTTCCCTTCCACCTCCCGGATTTCTATGCTCAGAACTTGGCTCTAAGCTCCACTCGCTCCCCTGCTTCAGTTATGATCCAGACATGTAGTGAAAAAACATCTCCCACCAGGCTTGGGGGCCCCACAGGACTGATGGACTCTGGCCCTCCTCTGGGAACTATATGGACAAGGGGTACTAGAACTGGATCATCAGGGGCAGGAACAGTACTTGAAACCAAGATGGAGGCCGTGGGGTCTGAGTGGAGGTTGGCATGGAAACCGGATGAAGTCTCTCTGGCCGTGTCCGTGTATCTAGGGCCCTGATTGGGGTCACCACCACTTTCCTCCTGCACATCTCCCTCTCCTCTGAGATCCCCCCATTTCCTTGTCCTTTAGCTGATGTCACCTCTTCACATTGACGGGCACTGGTGGCACTGAGAGGTCATGCTCCTTCCCCTCCAACTCAGGCCAGTCAAGCCCTTCTCAGTTCCCCTTGGTTGTAAAGGCAGAGGTGGTTCAGTGGTGGACACTGCACCCTAGCTCCCAGGGTGAGCCAGATAGCAACTTATTGGAGGGCACCCTGTGCACATATAAAAGTAGAAGACATGTGGCATTTAGTAAGGAGGTTCTTTAGGAGTCTGCTTTACAGCAAAATCCAATGCAAACTCTGTGGGTTTCTACAGCAGCCAGATCTGGGTTCAGAACTTCTGCTCTGCTCCTTAGTATAGGTTCTAGCCGCTCAGAATTTATTTTCTTACTTGAAAAATAAGGGTATTGTCAGACATAGCAAGAACACGTGGGGATCACTCCCAGCACAATCCTGGCCACATGGTTGATACCCAAAAATTGTTACTTCCCACTGGGACCTGGAACAGCAAAGTGCAATGTGCCACTGCCACCTAGTGGCATATTTTGGAGTTGCAAAAAAGGCTGCAGGAGAAAAGTTAGTAAGATGGGTTGCTTTCATTGAACTTGTTTCAATAACAGATTGTATGGAGATGGATAGAAGCTGGAGAAATTGAATAAAGATGTGAGGACAGGAAGGCATCCTGTTCAGAATAGTAGCATGAACAAAGAGAGAATTACTGCACTGAACTTCAGGTAAATGTACCCCAGTGATTTGCTCTTCTTCGTGGTGGCATAACCTTGCACCAGCAGGCAATGCCCAGGACACTGCTTGACCCAGGGCATGGTCTGCTACGGCCTCACCCCCACATCTAGGCTTTAGAAAATCTATGGCTTTTCGGACCTTGAACCCACTTCCACAGTGACGGCGTTTTTCGGTGGCTGTCCAAGGAGAATGCTCTGGAAATGCTGGCCCTGTGGGTCAAGGTGTCCACCCTAGGGTGGCCTGATGGCCATGGACTCTACAGGGGTGCGCTGCTTCCTTAGCTATGTCCTGACAACTGGGGCGCACATCCACCCAGCCCTCACCTTCACTGCCACTGACCCCACTCAACGGGGAGTCACGGGGGTCTCGGGGGAAAGCTGGGTATAGGCAGTGAACACCAGAGATTGGTCATGTCGATTCAGGATCAGCTGATGGGGAATATCACCTCCAGGGTATTTTGGGGTCTGCAGCTTCTTCTGCATGCCCCACTTGCCATTTTCTGGTGTCCTCTGTTGTCACTCACTGCTTCACAAAGATTTGTTTCCTGGAGGGCACAGTCACAGCTGGCACGATGCCTGCCAGAACTCATTCTTCTCATTGCCCATGTCCCTGGGCCTGCTGGTCAGCTGAAGCAAAGGCGCGCTCTGTGACTTAATACAGTTTCACTGCGTACTTTTAACTGTCTCATAGCTGGAATTGAACGTACAACCTTGGACTCACCATCCCTCTGTGCTAAGGAGATCTCTGGCCTAGAGGGGAATGTTCCATAGGCCACCCACGCCTGCCACACGGGGCAGTGAAATGCTACAGAGAGAGGGAACGAGATAAGCAAAGTTAATTTGTCTGAACTAGAGACAAGCTGGCACCTTATAAGCACAAAAGAGGAGCAGGGACAACAGCAACGTCCTCCGATGGTTCCAGCCCCTTTCTCTCCTCTCCCACAAACAACTGCTGACTCCGCAGCTGACGTCAGGAGGGGGTGGAGATCACCTGGGAAACATTTAAGCTGATGTCGCTTGATGAGCAGAAGAGGCGACCACCTTGCTGCCCCCTGTCCTTGGACCCACGAAATCCACCCCCAGCCCGGGGAAATCAAAGCCATTGGTGGCAAGTCCTCAGCAAATATGTCATGACCTGGCCTACGTCCTTGCAAACATGTCTGGGTCTTTGTGGGTCACTGTTGGGGAGTCTTGGCTACCTGGGGACCTTGCTGGTCTTGGCTGTTTTTTGGTCTAGATGAGCTGAGACCCCCAGTTTTGCCACTTTTCTTTGTGGTGCGCTGTAGATAACATCAAATGTATCACCAACCATTTTCAAGAGGACAACTCAGTGGCACTAAATACTTCCCCGATGTTGCACCATCACTGTCTAATTCCACAAGTATTTCATCTTCCTAACCTAGACTCTCTGTCCCATCAAACTCGAACTCCTCACCGCTCCACTGCCCTGCTCTTGGTAATTGTCCTACTTTCTGAATTTGTGAATCTGCCTCTTCTAGGCACCTTCTCTGTGTGGAATCACAAAATATTTGGAGTGAGTGACTTATTTCACTTAGCACTTAGTTTTTAAAATTCATCCATATTGAAACATATATCAGAGTTCCATTCCTTCTGAGGCTGAATAGTAGTCCCTTGCATGCATCGACCACGTCTCATCTATCCATTCTTCTGGGCACGGGCATTTAGGTTGTTTCCAGTTATGGCTTTTGTGAGTAATGCTTCTCTGAACACATGGACCGTGCACTGCAAGTGCTTGGCTGACACTCTGCACCCACTGCCACCCCGGCCTAAGATCCTATCAATATTGCAAAGCAGGAGAGGCCAAGAACTGCCTTCCCACAGTTTCTTAGAGTTCTTGATGCAGTTGAGATTTTGCCAATGAGCTCAATTTGTATGACGAGTGGAGAAACAGTCAGGGACCATCTGCCTGCACCGTGGCCATTGGAAGAAGGTCAATCAGAGGTGAACATTTGTGGTGGCTCAACTCTACCTCCCAGTGTCTGGTTACCACATGAGAGGTGTTAAGTAATTGTGAGGTGTCATTAGCAACAGGCTCCTGAGCTGTGAGTCACAGCTAGAGCATTTGATCCTGAATCCAATGGTCTAAAGGTGTCTCCCTTTGCCTGTTCACGCAATGATTACAGGGGTGCTTGATTCCCTATATTTAATCCCTTTCAGCTAGAGTGCTTCTGTTTCCTGCACCCAACCTGGGCCTGACCCATGTACATTTACTCATCTACACATAGGTGTTCCTGACTGCCTTCCCATGCTCCTGGCTTAAATTTGGGAAGTATTTGTTGACCATGTACTGAATGGTAGGATGTGTCAAGTGCTGCTGGATGTTGACATCCAAAGGAATCTATTGATCTTAAGAAAGTAGACAGGGGTCTCCCTGGTGGCACAAGGGGTTCAGCATCAGCACTACGAAGCTATCTGCAGCCACTGCAGCACAACTTCAATCCCTGGCCGGGGAGGTGACCCACATGGTGCAGCAGACCTCTCCTGACTCGCTGCTGCTGCTGCTGCTCAGCAGTGTATTTTCAATCTGCTTGCTCCGCTCCCCACTCTGTCTCTGGTGAATCCTCTCACTCCTCATACCTCTGGCCTACACCTCAGCTCTTGTATGCATAAACAAATAAATCTTAAAAAAAAAAAGTAGACAGTGGAGGTCACTCTGCATGTAATCCACTACAACACCAAACAATACAAAGTCAATCAATCAATAGCTGCTAAGTTGTGTTTTTGAACACTACCAAGGGCTCTCAGTGGCCAGAAGGGATGGGATCACTGGAGTTACCTAATCCAAACAGGTTGGAACAACACATGATGGACAGGCTGACCATGTGTGGGGATAAAAAGGGAGACAGAGAATGAGAAGAGATGGAGCAGGCAGTGACATCTGTAAGGGTCAAAATCCTAGACAATGTTCTCACTCTCACCTATTCTACTTGGGTCAATGATTTAATTTCTGAAAAGCACAAAAACCTTGGGGGGATGGTTGTGAGCTCAAATGAAATTAAACTACGTCTCTATCACTATAGCTTCATCCAGATAACTCTGTCTGGATACCAGAGTAGGCTACACAGGGGAGAAATAGGTCTACCCTTTGCCCCTGCAGACCCAGCACCTCATTTTTCCACCTGACCCTGGCCCTGGGACAGTGACTTGAGTGTCCATCTCTTGCTCTCTCACTGGGTCCCACACTGAGTTCAGCTTAGGAGAGACTTCCCCAGGAGACTGGAACAAAGAGAGTTCAGGAATGTTTCCCCAACTCCCTCCATTGCAGCCACATGGTGTTCTCCCACCAAAGGCCACCATTTCTGGAAGGCCACCATCTGTGTCCTAGAACAAGAGCTTGGTCCAGGTTACAGTCATCAATTGGGTCTCCTGCACTGCCCCTGTGTTCTGTCCACTACATGGTCTCTTCAGTGAACTGACTTCAAACACGCCTTAAGAATGTGCCATTTATTTCCTGCCACACTCTGGCAGATATAGAATGAAAACTACTGTATTCAAGTATCCCCTTGACTGAGAATGAATGAGAGTTTCCTGTTTTTAATAAGGTCAAGTGCAAATTCATTTTAATAGCAGATGAAAAATACAATTAAGAAGGAGAAGCCACAATTAGATGACTTACAGATCACTGTGCCACTTCTCCTGGTAACCATGGGCATAAGGGAGACTCAAAGTCTTGGCTTGGACATGGAGGTCAGCGCAATAGCACATCGATGTTCTTCCATTGGCTTCATTTCCACCCCCTACCTCCTGGTCAGAGAAACAAGTCCATCCTTTCTGTCCTTTTCTTTCCTCTTGCTGTATTTCTGCCACTTGTATGTGATCCTCTTCCCCATTTTTCTTTTTCCTTTGGAAATGCAAAGGTGGACACAGGAGGGAAGGCATGACCTTATGGGAAGGCAGACATGGGGAATTGTTGGGAAATTTTCCACCCATTAAAGCCCCATGGCCCATCAGGCTGATAACTTTCCAGCCGAGGGATGCAGATGACTCCTTGGAATAACAGGAGGCCAGGAAGGGGAGAAGTTGGGCAAATCACAGGCAGGCTGTGTAGCCTCGTCCTGCCCGACTAGCTTCACTGGCAGTCCCTCGGATTCCCTCCCAGGTCAGAAATTAAGAGTCCGTTTTCACAGACTAATGACAACACTTCTTAAGAAATATAGGTATGGGCCTCCCCGGTGGCGCAGCGGTTGAGCGCTTGGTTGCGAAGCTGCCCGGGCCTCTGTGGCACCAGTTCGATCCCCGGCTGCTCCCCGGCCACCTGAGGAGGGTCCCACATGGTGCGCAGACCTCTCCTGCCGCCCGCTGCTCCCCTCAGCAGTGTACCTCTGTCCTTCTGCCTGTTCTGCTCCCTTGTCTGGCTCTGGTGAATTCTCTCACCCTCCTGCGCTTCTGACTGTCCCCAGTGCATGAATAACCAAAAAACAAACAAACAAACAAACAAATAAATAAAAACATGCCTCTATTAAAAAAAAAAAAGAAATATAGGTATGTCATACTTCTGCTGAATTAAAGAGAGTGTAAAGCATCACTAATAGTGGTATCACAGAAAAATGTTCTGAGCGACTCTCTCTGAATAAGGAATGACAGCCAGGAGTGGGTGGCTGGGGGAATGTAAACTGGGCATAGATGCACCCCTTTCTCTCTGATCTCTCAAGCTATACTGAGCACCTACCCCTTGTAGGGATCCTTTAGGATGCTGGGGGAGAAGTAACTTCTATGACACAAAGACTGTACATTGGCTGTGGCTCAGGGAAGGGGTCTGTGCTATACAGTTTATTTTTTTATTTTTATTTTTTTAAAAGATTTATTTATTTATTTATACAAGCACTGGGTACAGTCAGAAGCGCGGGAGGGTGAGAGAATTCACCAGAGCCAGAGTGGGGAGCAGAGCAGGCAGAAGGACCGAAGTACACTGCTGAGGGGAGCAGCGGGCGGCAGGAGAGGTCTGCGCGCCATGTGGGACCCTCCTCCGGTGGCCGGGGAGCAGCTGGGGAGCGAACCGGCGCTGCAGAGGCTGCAGGCAGCTTCGCAACCCAGCGCTCAACCGCTGCGCCACCGGGGAGGCCCATAAGATTTATTTATTTATGCATACAAGAACTGGGGTACAGGCCAGAGGTGCAGGGGGTGAGAGGATTCACCAGAGACAGAGTGGGGAGCAGAACAGGCTGAATGACTGAAATACACTGCTGAGGGGAGCAGCGGGCGGCAGGAGAGGTCTGCGCGCCATGTGGGACCCGCCTCCGGTGGCCGGGAAGCAGCCGGGGATCGAACCGGTGCCACAGAGGCTGCGGGCAGCTTTGCAACCCAGCGCTCAACCGCTGTGCCACCAGGGAGGCCCTATACAGTTTATTTTGAGGATAGTCCAAGTCTCCCCATTCCTGAAGCTTTCCCTTTGTCTTCAGTAGAGTGGTAATTACCCTTTGTTTTCGGGGGTGGGGAGAGATAGCCCAAAAAAGGATGTATGACATGTGAACCATTCCAGGTTGTCTTCTTCCCCCCAAATTTGCCTAAGGATTGAAATCACGTTTTATATTAAACAATTTCCAACAATGCCAAGCACAGGGTTATGCAGGAGATGAATCAGAAATATCTGAGAATTGGAAGGGACCTCAGAATTGGCCTGACCTCCAAACACCTCAATTTCCAGGTGAGGAAATAGACACAATCAAGTTAATTATAAAACTTGGATGAGTGTTCAGGTCATTTGATGTCCAATTTTGTATTCTTCCACTGCACCATAAAGCATTCTGGTGACTTGGAAGCTGGCCAGCTCTGAGGTGGCTGTGTTGATACATCAGCTCAAAGGGTTAGAGGATCCACTGGGGCGGATTTAGAGGAGTGAGCCACACACATATCCCATCTCCTCTGTAGATTCTAGAAAGTGCTGAAATCTGGTAGCTCAACCTTTGGGATGGTGGTGGGAATTGTTGGTCTTATGCTCATGTTGATAAACGTGGGAAGACATTTTTTTTTTTGGTACCTGGAAAGCAGGTGTTGGCAGGTGAAGATTCTGCTCTCCTGAACATGGTTTATTTTGCTTCTTCAAACTCCAAGTCAGATCCTAACTGAGATACTGGATTTTCAGACTGCAGCAGATTCTAATCTGGGAACAGGGGAGGGTTTGCAGTGTGGGAAAGGGAGGCATTTGAGAGGTGCACAGGAGTAGTAGAGGTAGCTAATGCATCAGGATAAGGAAAAAAGCAGAATATCTAAACTCAGTGTTGAACTGCAACAGCATGTGGCATAATCTCTAAGGTTGGGTTCTGCCCACATCCCTCTTCACAAAGGCAGGGACTTTTATAATACAGTTCAGAAAAGTGTCAACATTCTCATCAATAAGGAAAAATTATTTTTCTATTTTTAGATGACTGGCAGATTTCAAATCCTGAGAGGTATACAAAGCAAGATGCCTGCCTGGGGAAGCAGGGCTTTTGTGGGTAGAAAAAGGAAATTTTTTTTTAAACAGGAAGGTGACTTCTACTAAGTCAAATAAATGATTTAGGCAGTAATTGCCTTGCAATTGAAAGAAAAGAAAATAATCAGGGTTCCTAGTCACCCCCTCCCAACACCATATGACCACCTTCCTAGGAAGGAAAGAGATTTGTTGAAAGCATGATAGGACTGTCAAAATTCCAAGAAATCAATTACATAAATTGTGAAGCATCAGTCACAATTCTATTTGTTCTGCAAGAGTGTAAAGTTTACAATTTTTCATTAAGATCGAAAGTAAGAACTCACCACGGCTTCCTCCCTGAGAGGCAGACACACCCCTTGTGCGATTCCTCTTGTTTTAATCAAGCTGTCTCTGGGCTGGTGTTTCTGCTACTGGCCTTTGTCTGCTGAGATTACAGAGGTTATTGGTCATCAGGTTAACTCAAGGGTGGATTTCTTTTCTGCGTCTTCTGATAGGATCATTTGCGCCGACATGTATTTAATGAGGCAATTAGCAGAGATGGTCATCATCTGAGAAAAAGAGGATGCCGTGAACCCACCAGGAGTGCACAATGATGCTGAGGTTTCTCAGAAATGTCAAGCACTGGCCTCGTGGGTCTTGATGGGTTCAGGCAGGAGGAAAGGTGTGGCTAGTCTTCCAGGGAGGGCCGGACTAATGTGATGAAAATGTGGAGATGGGACCAGGTGGGCAGTCTGGGTAAGAAAGTGACCAAATAGGGGCTGGTTAGGAATCCTGATTCTTTTCTTTTCTTCCTTTATGGCCACGCCAGCTCTATTTTTGATCCCCTGGGCCTACAGAACTCTATTGTGACCTTCTTTCCAAGTAGTTTTTCTCTGCAGGGACTTGTGATAAATTGGTGTAGGATGGTGGATGGTATTGGGGGGGGTTGTGAACAAGCTGTTCTTGCTTTGAGCAGTCATGTTGTCTTGGTCTGAGTTTTCTTGAAAACAAATCTTTTTTTTTTAAATCACAACTCAAGAATATTTATGAATAATTTTTCCATCTTGACCACTAATCATAACATGATATATCTCAACCAGAGCAGAAACCAACCAAGTTCTGTTTGATCTAACAGAACTTTTTTTTTATATATTTATATATATTTTACATCATTGTTCATTCTTAAACAATGTTAGTAAGAAATGGGTATAGGAACACATCGAGGCAAATCTATGAACACAAACAGTTTATTGGAGGGTCTTGGGCCTTGTAACTCCAGAGACATGGTCAATATAAATCCAAATCACTCCCCAAAAGGAGCTGGGGGTGTCCAGTAAGTATAGGTTCACCGGGTGCACTTCCAGAGTTGTGTTGAGCTGTTATGAGGGACGGTGAGTCACGCCAGAAGTTGCTGCTTCTGAGTGATTGGTCCATTGTTTTGTTTCTCTCAACTGTGACCGGAATGCCCATCTGTGTCCTTGGTGTCCCGCACCCCTGCTGCAGTCATGGTTTCTATCAGACCATGTCCAGGTAAGTGAATTTTGACAATCCTGTCATGCCTTCAACAAATCTCTTTTTGGTCATATGGTGTTGGGTGGGGGTGGTTAGGGATCCTGATTCTTTTCTTTTCTTCCTTTATGGCCACACCAGCTCCATTTTCGATCCCCTGGGCATACGAAACTCTGCTGTGTGCTTCTTTCCAAGTGGTTGACTTGGAAGTGATTCCAGGAAGCCTGGTGAGCAAGTGGGGACGTGAGATAGGAAGAGGGGAAGCCGACCCAGGACATGCTCAGGAGAGGGGGTCACTGTGGGGGTCCAGGACTCTGTCCCAATGGGGCCCTCTCAGAAACCTCAGGAGCACATAATGGGGTTTTTTTTCCCCCTTGAAATCAATCATTTATCACAAACTGAATCATTTCAGTTTTTAAACATAACATCACTTTTCTTCATACTTAACTGAAAATAAGTATAATTTTATACAAATTTTAAAAATACCCTTTCCATTCAGCCTGAGATAAGAAAGTTCAGTCTGAAGTCAGACTTCATTGCCCAAACAGTCAAGCATCTGAAAATAAAGCAGAGCATGAATGTGCATCTATCAAATGTAATTAAAGCTTTGCAGTGAAGTTTGAAACTGAATAGCAATGCTCTTCTGAATAAGACTTGGGGGCCGTCCCACCGAAGCATGAGAAAGCTGAGGTTTTGAGAACTTGAATTTCATCTCGTTGGCATGAGGGTTGCTCCCTGGCACGTCTGGCCTCCCCCTGAGTAAATTGAGTGGGTTCCTAGGATGAGGCCAGAGAAAACCTTCAAGCAGAGAGAAACAGATATATGAAGGGCAAGCCTTGACCCTGTGTGGGACCTGTCTGCAGTTGTGGACCGCAGGGAGCTAGGTAGACCACCTTCACTCCGTCAAGCATTCTTACCTTCAAAGAAAAATCCGAGAAAGAAATGTTGGTTCCCATATGCTCCACTTCCCTTTTCTGCCCTTGTCCTGCCCTTCATGAGTTTTCCTTCCCATCCCACCACCAGAGTCCCTGCTCCGTGATATCCTTCCCAGGTAATTGAGTGGCCACAGAGGCTCAAAGGAAGCTTTCAGCTGTTGGCAGGTGAGCAAGGGAGGGTTTTCAGGTTTTTCAATTTTTTAAAAAGATTTATTTATGCATACAAGAACTAGGGTACAGGCCAGAGCTGTGGGGGGTGAAAGGATTCACCAGAGACAGAGTGGGGAGCAGAACAGGCAGATTGACTTAAATACACTGCTGGGGGGAGCAGCAGGCAAAACAGGAGAGGTCTGCTGCACCACATGGGTAGCTCCCTGGCCAGGGATCAAACTTGTGCTGCAGTGGCTGTGGATAGCTTCATAGGTTGCATCTTAACCCCTTGCGCCACCAGGTAGGCGCAGGAGGGATTTTTAATTATGAAATTTTAGCTGATTGAGAAATGTTTGGGTAGACACACATTGTACAGAGCCTCGAAATATCTTACCTTCCATGTTTCAACCAGATGTCAGGCAACTCACAGCCTGGGTAAACTGATATTTTATTGCTGAATGCACATCATCATTTTATTTTCTGCAAGACTGAAAACCAGGAGATATTCTTCAATCGACATTCAGAACTGCCACAGTGAGAGTGACTTTAGATGGGCGCTATGTCTATGAGTTGAGAATAGGAAAAGAATTAAGTATGTTTCAAAAATATTAATCAGAAAAATTCTCTTCAGCAGATCTTTCTTGCTCTTACTAGAGGAGCTGAAGAGCCAAGACTATCACAGAAATTATCAGCCAAGGATGTAGCAAGTCATCCTACACCTGAAATTATGAAATTCTCTATTCGTGACACATGTAGTCATCGCCACAGAGACTGATTGTCATGTCACAGAGCAGACAAGAATACGAATACAGAGAAAAATAGCAGGAGCGAATAAACTGTGATTCCGATTCCATGCAAATGATCTAAGCCAGAAAAACAAAAGGAAGAAAATCTCTTAACATGAAAGTAGAATTAGCTAGGAATTGATCCCCACCCGCCCACCCCCCCCCGCTTCCCGGTAGCATTTCTTTTAAGCAGATTATTTTTTTTAAGTTGATTTTTTAGGGGCACGGGTGGTTGGCAAGCCTGATAGGCACCAGAATAATAAAAATCATAAATCTGGAGGGAGTTCAAGGAGTCACCTTGTTCAGTTTCTGGTTCCAGACAGAAATGATCGTAACAACGGCATTCTGAAAAAGCCTGCCAGAAAGATGATTCTACAGATTTCGCAATATCCCAGCTTGCATGTTTTACCCTCATCTCCCCCGTACAACTGTCCCTCCTTTTATCAATTGTGTGCCTCTACTGAATTTTAAGTCTGTGTTTTATATTCTGTTCTCACTGGCACATTGAGAACAGCTGTTCACTGCCCTGCTCCTCTCTGCACTTAAGACAATACAGTTACCCCTACTCCTCTGGGTCCTTGCTACTTCTGAGCCAATGGCATCGGCCCAGAGCAGAATTGTCAAGAAGAAGTAGTGGGGAGTCATTGTCTAGGGTGGGTGTGGCAGACTGAAAACGTGCCCCCAGTTTCACAAGCATTGCTTACAAGAAAATTACTTAAATTTCTGCAAGCTGGAGTGTGGTGAGGGACCACCCAGGTTTGGCCCTCCAGATGCAATGACTTATGGGATGATGGAGCACAAGGAGCTGCCCCTCCCACCAGGACACCCCTTCACCCCACCCTGGTACTGAGAGACACAAACTCTCTTAAACTCCAGTCAACTGCCCAGTAGGTTTCCTGATGGAATAAGGCAATTGGGAAAGACTGGCATCGAAGACTCTTTCCCCAAACAGTCATCTTCGATGATTTCTTTCTCCATCATGACCCATGAGATGAAAAACTTACGTATATGATACTCTCATGGGCAGACTCAGATTCTGAAGAAAGTCCCTGAAATTTGGTGGCCAAGCAAATCCCAGGCTCACTCCTGATACCCGCCATTCTGGCTTTTTCTTCTCTTGCCATTGTAGTCTAGTTCCCAAAGACTCCATGAAGCCAATATCCTGGAGTGTCTTGCCGGTATTTTCTTCTATGTATTGTGTGTGTGGCTTCAGATCTCACATCCAAACTTTTAATTAATCCATTTTGAGTTGATTTAATTACTAAATGCGAATCCAATGAATCTGCTTAACTATGTGCTAAAAAACATTTAGTGAGCATCTATTAAGTGGCAGGTGCTGTATTAGACCCTTGCAACAGCAGTCCTATGGTTACACTGTGACACGAGCACAGGTGGAGTCAAGCAACTTGATCCTATTGGAAAAACTTGCATTAACTGTGTACATTTTGATACAGAGACAGCAAGAAAGTTTCCCTACGAGTAACTTCAGCTTAGAAACAGGAGGCAGGCTTGAATTTCGGATCTGGGAAGTATCAAGACCACTTTTGGGAACTCAAATTGTACATCTACTTAGCAGGCCATGCCTTCAGTATTGCATTCCAGAATATACGCGGAAAGTTGATAAGCATTGGTTTAGCCTCTTAAACAACAGAGTACCAGGCATGCATTTTGTAGGCAACATCTTCTATATAAAGAAAAAAACTTGAATCTCAATTCTTTTGGCTTTTCCAAGTGGGGACTGTTCACAGGAATATTCATGCCCCCTTGCCTCTTCCTCATGTGTTTAGTAATAGGCATTTGCTGACTAGTCAGTCTGAACAAGTCCCGTGGACAAGCTCCATTGATCAGAGAGAAGGAAAGTGTCCCTTAGAGGAATCAGATTGCTTTTCTGCTCTGTGCTTTGTGCACTGGACCCTGGAAGGCCCTCTGGACACTGGGCTGCTTATGTTGTATGTGACTGTGTGTGAAGGGAATTAACACATAATTCTGTGTCCCAGCTTTATTGCTGAGGTCCATAATGAGTCAGTATAATTAAGCACCATTTGCCTGGTTAGTTAGTTCAGGTGTCTAAATCTGTCACAATAAAGTATGTGATGTTAAACATGTTTGGATTAGAACCTTCTGGAGCCAATGCCAATGCAGACAGCTATATTAATCACATGGGAGGTTATCTTATTTGAGATTTTCTATGCATCTCTGAGTTACAGTGTTTCATCCATCAAGGGCTTGCTGAAGACATCTGTAAACTTTGATTTATTGCACTGTTCCTGGTGCAGAATTAAATAGCATTATACTCAAATATATTGGCTTAATTGACAGGTAGAGATTTAATCCCGTTAATTATCTAGCTGGCTTGAAAGTTTCCATTAACCCCTTGCTGAATCAGCCGAATTCAGAAGAGGTATCTCAGCACCTCTTTGGGAGTGCAGGTAAATCAGCACTGTCCTCCCTCCGCAGAAAGTGTATTCTTGCTAGCCCCTATTCGTGAGTGGATGTGTGTAGCCATGAGATACAGTGTCAACATGGGTGGTCTCCTCTCTGACCCCAAACAGCCCATTGCTTTAGGTAAATGACTTCAGAAGGTTCGTCATCAGGGTGTCTCCTGGCTTTAGTTGTTGTTTGTAAGCATTTAATAAAACAGCACGCAGGAAAGTTGTTTAGCTCTTCAACACACTTGTACTGAGTAAGCATTTCCTATGTTCAGGAACTTTGCTGTCATTGAAAAGCAAAAAGTATGTATAAAGACAACGGAAACCCTCAAGAAACTGACAACATTTATAAGTCACAAAGTACTCTACAAATATCTGGGATACTCATTATGATAATAATCTTATAGTAATATATGCAAATAGGTTATTCACACTAAAAACATAAGTTTTTATTTTCATATAGTCTCACACTGAGAAAAAACTTACAAGAAATGCAAAGAACACCCATAGACTCTATTCAGAATCAACAATTTTAAATGAATTGTTTGATATTTTACTCCTAGTTGCTGCTCTATTACCTATTGTTTTGTCTTTGATGAGGTAGGCAATAAAAAAAGGACAAAAGGAATGTTCATCAATACATCTACAAGGACCTATGCAGCATTACCCAAGCTGATCACAAATAATAGATCTTAACGACAACCTCACTAAATTTGAAGGAATGAAAAGTATTATGAAAACACAATGCAGAAACTACAGGATCATATTCTGGCTTACCAACTGAATCTTGGTTTCCGAAATCTGTGAAATGTGATTATTAATAACAACTACCTTCTATGGGTGTTGTGAGGAGCTAGTGAGAACTTACAAAGCTTATTGTAGTGGCTGGCACATAGTAGGCACTCTATACTTGCTAGTTGTTGGTATTATGACCGTTATTTTGTTTTGGCCACATCCTCTATGAAACCCAGTAAAAGAAGTTCAAAGGGGAAAATCAAAACTCCAATCACTTAAGATACATTTTAAAAATTCTTAAACTGTCATTGGATCAAAGTGATCAAAACTGTAATTCTGAAACAAGGAGAAAACAATAAAATAGGTCAACTATGAAGTTAGGAAGCCTAAGGGAAGACAGCCAAAGCTCAACTAATAGGTAAATTTATAGACTGAAAGTATTTTCTTGTTTGGGGAGAAAAATAGAATTGTAAGAATGAAAACCCCAAATATTAGGAAAATAGAAAGTGAAAAAAAGCAGAGGGGGAAAACAGAATCACTTTCTTTAAAATGCAGGACATTATTATATTTGGGTGATAAAGCAGTAAAATAGACTGCCACTTACAAATTTAAGTTTTAAAAAGAGGCAGACACATGCATGTCTCTAGATAACAAGGCTGAAGACTGTAAAAATGCTAATTCTTCCCATATCAGTTCATCCATTTAGTAAAAACCCAATCAATATTCTGATGGGACTATTTTTTTTTTAGAAATTGTCAATGTAATAATCAGATTCATCTGGAGAGCAGGTGAGGCTAGCTAAGAACATTTTGGAAATATTCTAATAATGTTAAATTCATCTGAACAGTCTAGATTCAGAAGAAAAGTTATTTTGAGAGCAGATTGACATCAATATAAAAAGAAACTCAGTCAACCTGATACCTTATTGAAGCATTAATTGCTATCAGTCTGGAATTCAGAGCCGCTCAACCCCAGCTCTAGATATTTTTGCCACTTTGATGCACAGACCTCTAAATCAAATAACAGAAAGACAAGCTAAGAATAAATTGCTCTAGTGTCACTCAACGTGAACTCAGAAAAACAGTGAAATCTTAAAAAAAATATCTTGGCTCTCATTCAAATGGGATCACTTCTATTTGTTGTTTTGTTATTTGTTTTAAAAATGTCTATTTCAACCACAGGAGGAATTTGACATCCATGAGCCATTATAGATCCTTTTGATTATTTTCAGTCTATAGGATTTTCTCACTTTCAGGCTTGGAAATTTGGGGTGGTCATGTTCATACTCTAATGTTTTTGGTCAAGGACAAACATGGCTATTTACAGTATCTAATGTGACTACTAGTGTGATTCTAAGTGTGGATTTATTTTGTTCTTTGGGTTTAGAATAAAATCAAGTTGCTTTCATCTGATAACTGAAGGAAAGCATAGGGGTCTTGATGCAGAGGAAGATTGCTTAGTGAGATTGTTGAGTGGGAACAATTGAACCCAGGACACCTGGGTTAGCCATGGTAAGGTGGGACAGAATGGAGTCACCCATCCTTCCAAAAATTATGAATATTACATGGATAGATGTGAGGTCTAAAGGCATCAGAGGAGGAGGGGTTCAGGAACCAAATGCTAGTATTGATTTCAAACAATCCATACCACAACCAGGCCAGCAGTTAAGAAAACATGTTCTAGAGTCAAAAGGACCATAATCTGGGTCCCAGGTCCACTACCTACTAGCATTCTAATGTGAGACAAATTTCTTCAACACTGATTCCCAATGTCCACATCTCTATGTTAGGGATTACACAAATCT